TTTGAATCAAAGAAGTATATTTATTTGATAAAGGGATAAAGAAAAGTTTGATTCAAATAATCAAATTATTATCAAATATATTTACTTGAACCAAATAGTTTTTTATTTGACTTAATTAAATGTCATAATACAGAACTTATTAGTTCAAATAAAGTTTTATTTAATTGAAATAAAAATTATTTGGTTCAAGTAAATATTTTATTTGGTTCAAAAAAAATTTAATAATAGTCAATTAATCGATTATTTTAATCATATAAATTTTTTTTTTTTTCATTGTTATAATGATCATATTGCTACCCTTTCATGTGAGTGTATAAGAAATTCGCCTCTTAAGTTTCACATCAAGGTCGTTATTTTTTTTTTTTATAAATATATATGGAAAAAGATAGTAGATAATATTTCCAAGTGTGGGAGATTGGATATTTACATATATACGCAATATATAATAATATCCAATATAGGTTGTTATGCACGAATAGATAAAAAAAAAGATATTAAGCGCCACATTGTTTAGCGAAAAATTATATAGGGAAAGATCAAAAAAGTATTTAGAGTAAATAAATTGTCCTTAATGGATACTAATCTTTTTTGACTCAACGTCATATTGTTTAGTTTAAAAAAAAAAAATTGCAATTCAATTGCTCCTGATATTTATTTTCTGTATTTATAGTGATCGATAAAAGCGCGATAAATTACCCACGAAATTTATTGCACCAATTCTTTAGTAAAAAAAAATTAATAAAATATGGTAAACTTTACATTAAATTTCAGTTAAATTTATTTATATAGAAATTTGAATTAGTTAAGAATTACTAATTGTTAGTTAAATCTTGATTGACTTTTGGTTTCAATTAGTAAAAAAAAAAAAATAAATATCAGTAAAAAATAACAAATTATTATTAACAAAATAATTAATTATTAGTCAAAAGTAACTAATTATTAGTAAAAACTAAAAAGTAACTAATTATTAGTAAAAACTAAAAAGTAACAAATTATTAGTAAAAATTAATTAATTTCCAGTGAAAAAATTAAGGAATTATTGTAGCTATTAACTATTAACTAGTAATAACTAGTAGTAACTAGTAACTAGTAGTAACTAGTAACTAGCAGTAACTAATAGTAATTAGTAACTAGTAGTAACTAGTAACTAGTAGTAACTAGTAACTAGTAGTAACTAGTAACTAATAACTGGTAGTAACTAGTAACTAGTAGTAACTAATAACTAGTAGTAACAAGTAACTAGTAGTAATTAGTAACTAGTAGTAACTAGTAACTAGCAGTAACTAATAGTATTTAGTAACTAGTAGTAACTAGTAACTAGTAACTAGAAGTAACTAGTAGTAAATAGTAACTAGTAGTAACTAATAACTAGTAACTAGTAGTAACTAATAACTAGTAACTAATAACTGGTAGTAACTAATAACTATTAGTAACTAGTAACTAGTAACTAATAGTAACTAGTAACTAGTAGTAAATAGTAACTAGTAGTAAATAGTAACTAGTAGTAACTAGTAACTAGTAACTAATAGTAACTAGTAACTACTAGTAACTAGTACCTAATAGTAACTAGTAACTAGTAGTAACTAGTAACTGAATTACTAGAAATTTTAGTTATTTTGACATAACCTAAAAGTGAATTTAACTAATAGTTATTTTATCCAAAAAATTAGTAGAAATATTACTATTTGAATCAGTAACTGACTTTTTGTTCTCGAATTAAATTATTCCTAACTAATATAAATTATTAGAGAGTAAATTTTCTTTTACACTCGGATTTTTTTTTTTGTCCGAATTAGTAACTAATTTATAGAATATTAATAAATTTCATAGGATTTCTATATAATTGTAAGTTTCAATGGAAATCAATTTTTCAATAATTAATCGAAATTTATTCAATTAACTATAGTAGTAAATTAATTTTAAAAAAACTATTATTAGTTTTATTTCAATTGCTTCACATAAAATATTTTTTCTTGAAATTCAGGGCAAAATATTTGAAAATGAGATGTTAATGGTTTTATAGAGTGATAAAAAAAGAGTTATATAGAAATTAGCTTTCCCGAGATGTAACTTTCTTTGTTTCTCAGATTTATGTATATATATATATATATATAGGTATATACACATATTACCTTGACATAAAAATTGGCACACTTTTCAAACTATGTTCTTCCTGTGTGCTCGCAAAGAAAACGTAACATCAGAATTTCACTGTCAAGTTTCTAAAACCTGCACACAAAACTATTTCCCACGTATAAATATTATCATTTTGCGCGAATAAACCAGGAAATACTTTATTGCAAATATTTTCCATTTTATTTCTTATCTTCATTTATATATATATATATATATATATATATATATATATATATATATATTTTATTTATCGACACAATCGTCCATGAGACATCACATCAGAAGTATGTGTTTAACACATTGAAAAATAACTATTGCACGAAAACAAACGGTAATTTATGTGGCAAATATTTTTAATGTATAAATATATATATATCTTAATCGCGTGCTTTCTCTTTGCGCTTTCATCGTCACGCGAATTATTTTCGAAAGAAACATTATTTCTTCACAATGAGCTTTCGCATATAACAAATTGAAATTATTATGCGTTATCTAAATAAATATTAATTTTTTTTGTTAAAATATTTGAATATAATCTTAGGCAATTTTGAATTGATCATCAATAATTGAGCACTCTTTCAGGAACAGTGAAAGTATATATGTATATAAAAGAAAAGAGAATATGAAAAGTAAACTTGGTAATAGAATTTCCCTTGTCTGTATAATTTAGGATTATGAAAGCTTAGATTTTTTGTATTTGTATATATTAAAAAAAAAAAAAAATAAGAGACAAATTGTCAGATATGAGACAGGTATATATAATCATTGAGACTTTTCCCGCCGCGCGTTTGTCGGCAATGATTTTCTTGGAAGTTGCACGCGAAATACAAGAGAGAGCCTTTCGCCTGCTTCCATATCGATCGTCCAATAAGGATAAAAGTGGAGCAAGAGATCTTGGTCAGACGCACACACACCCTTATCCTTATAATATAAGCCATTGAATTTCGATCGAAGCCATCAACCTTCTCCCTTCCTTTTCTTTTTTTTTTTTTTTTGCTCCAATCCGTTTTTTCTTTTCACTTTAAACATAAAAATTTAATTTTTTTTAAATACTTGTATTATTTCTTTTTATCTCATTTATTATATTCGGTTAGAATTTCTCAGGTAAAATTTACAAAAAGTAATTATTTTTATTTAATTAATTAAAATTAATTAATTAACATTAATTATAATTAATTAAATAAATAATAATAAATTAATTAATTAATTAAAATTAAATAATTAACATTAATTATAATTAATTAATATTAATTAATTTTAATTAATTAAATAGGTTTTTTTTATTTCTACTGTAATCAAAATAAGTTCACGTTATACAGAAAAAAAACCTGAGCTCAAAATGAGTATCTCTATTTAAAAATCATTTGTGCCTTGTAGAGGGCGCCACATTCTTTTGTATTAACAGAATTTTTTTATTATTTTTCAAAAATAAAATTTTTTTAATCTTTATTTATTTGATGTTAATAAATGTTTGGTTTTATTATTATCAAATTTTTCGAATACACTGAAAAAAAAAATTTTATTTTATTCAAATATTCGTTTACTTGCACTCATATAGAAATTGTACCTATATTTATCTCAGAGCCTACTAACTCATTTATTTGTTACAAATATATTTTATTTCGTTTAAATAAATTTATTTGAACCAAAGAAAAATTTATTTATGACAAATAAAATTTTTAATTACGCCAAATAAATAAGTTAATAGGCTCTGAGACAAATATACGTTTATTTAATTCAAATATATTTTATTCGATTTAAATAAATCATTTCTCTGGGTGTGATTATTGTGAAATAAATATTTACTTGAATTAAATAATTTTTATTTGAGTCAATTAAATAGTATTTGTTTCAAATAAAGAAATTATTGGTCCAAATAAAATTTATTTAATTTAAATAAAAATTATTTAGTTCAAGTAAATATTTATTTGATATTATTCAAGTAACTGATTATTTGCACACTCAGAGAAATGATTTATTTGAACCAAATAAAATATATTTGAGTTAAATAAACGTATATTTGTCTCAGAGCCTACTAATTTATTTATTTGGCGTAAATAAAAGTTTTATTTGTCACAAATAAATTTTTCTTTGCCTCAAATAAATTTTTTATTTCAATGAAATAAAATATATTTGCAACAAATAAATGAGTTAGTAGGCTCGGAGACAAACATATACCATTTCTCTGAGTGCATTAAGTAAATTTTTTTTCTCACTGTAAAAATTGGACTTTTGAGTTGAATTAGTAAAAATTTTAAATTAAATTAGTGACTCACTTTTTTTTTTATTGAATTAGTTATAAATTCTACTATTAGTTAAATTATTACTAATTCAAAATAAAAGTGAATCGCTAATTAATATTAAAATCTAATAAAAAAAATAATTTTGCTTCGCAAGTAAATATTTATTTGATAATAATTATTTGAAATAATTTTTTTTCCATTCTATATATATATATATTATATAACAAAAAAGAAAGCATACAAGATAAATATAAATTACGTGTATGTGTCCTTCTTCTTCTTCTTCTTCTTCTTCTTTTTTTTGGACAATGATAAGAATACATAAAATTTCTTAAGAAACTCTAAAGTCATGAAATATTCACGTCAAAAAGTTCTCTGCCGTCTCTTTGTAGGTCTTAAGACCGATTTCCACGCTTATGAGCTTTACAAAAGGCAGGAAACATAATTCCACATATTTTCATTGGGTTATAATCTTCTCAGTGACCTTTAAGAGAGTCCAAGAATTTCAGAATATGCGATGTTAATCCTGATGATGTAAATAATAAAAATAATAATAATGAAAAAAAAAAAATAAATAATGAAAAAAAAAATCTAAATTCGCCACACACGTGCATATTACAGATGGATGAGATACGCAGCAAGAGCAGAGAGATCGAGAAGCTGAAGAACGTTGTGCGGAAGCTGCGGTCCAGGGAAGATGAAACTGTGAGTAAGACGAATTTTTATTTATATACAAAATTTTTTTTGTTGCATGTTATTTCATTCGAAAACAATATATATATTTGCCCGGAAAAAAGTAATCTTTATTTGAGAGGAAGTATAAAATTCTCAATATGGAATTTCAAAATAAGAATATTTAGAAATTCTTATATAATATATAATAATATAATAATATACACTCAGAGAAATGGTATATTTGTCTCAGAGCCTACTAACTCATTTATTTGTTGTAAATATATTTTATTTCATTATTTGAATAAAAAATTTATTTAAACTAATGAAACATTTATTTATGACAAATAAAATTTTTATTTACACCAAATAAATAAGTTAGTAGGTTCTGAGATAAATATACGTTTATTTAATTCAAATATATTTTATTTGATTCAAATAAATCATTTTTCTGGGTGTAATTTTTATATGATTATAAAAGTAGAGTTGGAAGGTTATTTTAAAAATTTTATAATTATTACTTTATCCTCTTTGAATAAGAGTATTTTTCTCTTTACACCCAGAGAAAAGATATATATTTTTTTCTTAGAGACAAATAAATATTTTTATTTGTTGCAAATAAATTTTATTTGATTTTAAATGGAAATTTTATTTGTTGAAAATAAATTTCATTTGATTTAAATGGAAATTTTATTTGTTGCAAATAAATTTTATTTCAATTAAATGGAAATTTTATTTATTGTAAATAAATTTTATTTGCTGCAAATAAATTTTATTTGCTTTAAATGGAAATTTTATTTATGACAAATAAAATTTTTATTTACACCAATTAAATTAATTATATTTTTGATTCAAAACAATTATTTGGGTGTGAAGTATAAAAGATTTAAAAAATTTTTTAAACTATATTATCAGCCTCTCTCACGTCATCATCTCAAAATAATTTATAATATTCCTTCTTAAAAATTAGAAGATTTTATATATACGTTATTTAAAAAAAAAAAAAAATCATTTCGATTAAAAATTTACTATGAAAATTGAATTAAAAAAAAACCAACCTTTTTAAAATGAATCTCTCAGGTAGAAGAATTTTCTATGTTTTATTTTGGCATATTTATAGAAACAAATCCATAAAATATAAATGAAATGGCGCAAAGCTTTTATCCTTTCCGGTATAGAATAAATTTTGGTTCGTGTCGTATATTGGAGAGGTGTGTGTTCCATACTTATAAGAGAGCGACGGAAATCAATGAGTCGCGGTGCTTCATCTTAAAATATATATATATATATACTTAAAACCGGTGATATCGGAAACCCATAAAAATTTTTAATGCGTATCTTTTCGGCTACCGAATCCAGCGTTTCTTGTCATCATCGTTCATATATTTTTATATGAGATTAATATCGGTTCGTTGAACTTGTATAAATTTCAATTAATTAATTTATTTATTTTAATCATTTGGTAGTAATTTTTTTTCTTATTCTTATTTTTCATTCATTAAAATCACACATTGAAAAAAATTTATTTGATTTAAATAATCGATTATACTTGACTGTGAAATAAATATTTACTTCAACCCAGAGAAATTATATATTTTTCTAATAAATATTTATTTGATTCGAATAAATATTTATTTGATTTAAATAAAAAAAATTTTTACACCAAATAAATAGGCTAGTAGGCTGTGAGATAAATATACGTTTATTTAATTCAAATATATATTATATTTGGTTCGAATAAAATATTTCTCTGAGTGAAATAAGTTTTGAAACCAAATAATTGAATTAAATAAATTCTAGGTATTTGTACCAATAATTTCTGTATTTGAAACAAATATAAATAATAATTACTTGATACAAATAAATATTTATTTAATATAGAAAAAAAATTTATATATGATTCAAATACTTTACTTGACTATTATCAAATAAATATTTCAAATATAATTATTGTTTGAGATGATATTTGTTTTAAATATAGAAATTATTGATTTAAATACAATTTATTTAATTCAAATAAAAATTATTTGGATCAAGTAAATATTTATTTGATAAGTACCTATAATTATTTGGGACAAATAAATTTTTTTTTTTGCAGTGAACCGAATTCAAATTTTTTTTTTTTTTTTTTATTAAAAATGAAGATATATAATTAACAATAAATTAAATATTGAACTTTCTTTTCATATATGGAATTGAAAGTCAAAAGAGTCAATATAGCAACTTCTGGTTAAGCGATATACACTTTTGAAATGAGAAGAGTTTATTTCAAGGAGGTCAAATATTTAATGAAGAAAATGAACATTTAAAGTTTTTTTATTTTTTTTTTTTTGACGCATTTATATATGAATACACGTATATATGATTTCGCACGTTCGTTTATATATATAGACACTACCAGAGAACTGAAAATAAACCGTTAGAAAAGTAATAACACGAAGATTCGAGTTTCGTTACGGTATTGTGTTAAAGCGTTACATCTATACGTGAGCTTCTGGTGACCTAAACCCGAACCGCGAGTGAGTCAATAACTTCAATTAAAATGCAATTAATGTTTAACCCAAAGAGAGTGCTAGCAATTTATTTTATATATTTTGTTCGTGTATATATTTGATTTGAATTTTTTTTGTCATCTTCAAAGAATTAATTTTTTTTTAATTAGAAAATTTAAAAATTTCAAAAATTTTGGTCCATCATAGCTTGGATGCTGTTGGTCTTGTTAAAAATTGCCTCATATATTTTTTGTAGATTCTTCTTCTATTCTCGAAAGTTTATGTCGAAAATTTTTAATTTCTAAAATGTTTTATTACTTTGGTCCATTGTTGGTCGGATGCTGCGGTTTCATTCAAAAATGGACAAAAAATTAACTTTCTGTGGTATTTCCGAAAGTGTATCTTGAAAATTTTAAATTTTGAAAATTTTTTATCACTGGTCCATTGTAGGTCGGATGCTGTGGTACGTTCAAAAATGGACCAACAAATTTTTTTATAATACTATCTTAAGATATCTTTACTTCTATTCTCGAAAATTTGTTTCGAAAATTTTTAATTCCGAAAATTTTTTATCACTTTGGTCCATTGTAGGTCGGATGCCGTGGTTTCATTCATAAATGGACCAAAAATTGTACTATTTTGGGATACCTCCTGTGGTCTTTATGAGAGTTTATCTTAAAAATTTTTAATTTCGAAATTTTAGATCACCTTTGGTCCATTGTAGGTTCGGATGCTGCGTGGTTTTATTCAAAATTGGACCAAAAACTGACTATCACAAGATAGTGCACTATCTTAGGATACTTCCTGTGGTATTTATGAGAGTTTATCTTGAAAATTTTACGTCACCTTTGGTCCATTGTAAGTTCGGATGCTGTGGTCCATTAAAAAATGAACCAACAAATTTTTGTATAACACTATCTTGGGATATCATTACTTCAATTCTCGATAGTTTATTTCGAAAATTTTAAATTTAGAAAAGTTTTCATCACTTATTTAGTCCATTGTAGGTCGGATGCTGTGGTTTGTTCTAAAACGGACAAACAAATTTTTGTATAACACTATCTTGGGATATCTTTACTATTTTATTCTCGAAAGTTTATTTCGAAAATTTTTAATTCCGAAAATTTTTCATCACTTTGGTCCATTGTAGGTTGGATGCTGTGGTTTCATTAAAAAATGGACCAAAAAATGACTATCCCAAGATAGTGCACTATCTTGGGATACCTCCTGTGATATTTACAAGAGTTTATCTTGAAAATTTTAGATCACCTTCGGTCCATTGTAAGTTCGGATGCTGTGGTCCATTAAAAAATAAACCAAAATTTTGTTCTATACTATCTTAGGATAATTCTTCTTCTATTCTTGAAAGTTTATCTCAAAAATTTTATATATAGAAAAGTTTTTATCACTTTGGTCCATTGTAAGTCGAATGCTGTGGTTTGTTCAAAAATGGACCAACAAATTTTTGTATAACACTATCTTGGGATATCTATACTATTTTATTCTCGAAAGTTTATTTTGAAAATTTTTAATTCCGAAAATTTTTTATCACTTTGGTCCATTGTAGGTCGGATGCTGTGGTTTCATTCATAAATGGACCAAAAATTGTTCTATTTTGGGATACCTCATGTGGTATTTACGAGAGTTTATCATAAAAATTTTTAATTTCGAAAATTTTAGATCACCTTTGGTCCATTGTAGGTTCGGATGCTGTGATCCATTCAAAAATGGACCAACAAATTTTTGTATAACACTATCTTGGGATATCATTACTATTCTATTCTCGATAGTTTATTTCGAAAATTTTTTATCTCCTTGGTCCATTGGAGGTCGGATGCTGTGGTTTCATTTAAAAATGGACCAAAAATTGACTATCCCAAGATAGTGCACTATCTTAGTGCATCTTACCTCCTGAGGTATTTACGAAAGTTTATCTTAAAAATTTTTAATTTCGAAAATTTTTGTCCATTTTGGTCCAGCATAGCTCGAATGCTGTGGTCCATTAAAAAATGAACCAAAAACAGCTTTCTTTTTTGTAATCTTATTTTAATTCTAGTAGAACTAAAAAAACGATTGAACATAAAAAAAAATTATTAAATTTTTTCAAATTTTATCTTATTTGAAAAGTTCTGATCCAATTTTAATATAATAATAATATTTTCATTATGAAATGGTATAATTAAAGTAAACGATCAATTTTGATTGATGACATAAAGTAGTGTGGAGTTGACAATTTTTTTTTTTTTTTTTTTTTTTGACACGATTCACAATCGTTGGAACGTTTCTACATGTTCGAGCTCAATGACTTCCTCGTCTAGGAATGTTTGTTCACTCTAGGAAGAAGGACTCGGTAAACTTAAGAGGTGGTTAGGAAGCATTGCTTCATTAATTCGAGACAAACGAGTGCGTGGCTTCTCGAAGAGCATGCTCTAGGGAAGGTGTTGCCTGCAGCAGGTAGTAGAGTAGAGAAGGTAGAAGGCCAGCTTCTTCAGTCTGTTCTAGACGTTGGTCGAGTGCGCACACTCTGACAATATATATATA